CAGAGGCAGGCAGATCTCTGTGAGTTCAAGGCCAGCCTGACCTACATAGTGAATTCCAGGCCAGCTGGGGCTACCAGGAAACCCTGTCTTGAAACAAAAAGACCGAGGTCTGGAGAGATGCTCAGCAGTTAAGAACATTTACTGTTCTTGCAGAAGACCCGGGTTTGAATCCCAGCACCCACATGGCAACTCACAACGGTCCGTAGCTCCAGTTCCAGGGGATCCAACAGTCTCTTCTGTCCTCCATGGGCATTGCACGACATGGGTGCACTTACCTATATGCAGGCAATACATGTACACATTAAAAAAAAACAAAAAAAAACAAAAAAGAACCCAACAAGAAAGACTGCTTTAGGACTGAGAAGATGGCTCAGCAGCTAAGAGCACTGGCTGCTCTTACAGAGGACCTGGGTTTGGTTCCCAGCACCCACATGGCAACTGACAGACATCCTTAACTCCAGTTCCACGGGTTCTGACGCCCTCTTCTGGCCTCTGCATGCAACACAGGCATATGGTGCACCTACATATGCACAGGCAAAGCCTCCATACACCCAAAATAAAAATAAATAAAATTTTAAAGAAGAAAGATTACTTTGACTGGAAGACTCATGGAGGGAGTTTACCTAGGCAGGCTACAGAATTTAAATGACGTGCTCCTGGGCAGCGAGCATTATGTCATTATCTCCAGTGAACACTGAGTTGTACCTGTTTTTCTAGTTTGAGATGACTTTTCTTTAAAGGCTTCACTGTTTCCTTAGGCCTTTATAAATCCCGAACAAAGATCTTATGTTTTTGTATCATGGCCTCCAAGCTTTTAAAAGTAAACAGACCTTTTAAGCTCCCTTTTGTGTATATTCCAAGGAGAAAATGTTAACTCTGGAGGCAGTGTGGGAGTGAGCAAGCTACCAAGGACTTTGAGTTCTCTGGGCAGCGTAAAACCTGAAGTGTTTATTTTCTATTCTTGTGATACTGGATTATGTTGGTGATACTTTGACTTCTACGTTAGCTAGAGCCACAGTGGCCAGCTATTGTATATAGATGCCTGGAACATTTGTAATAAATTCAGAGTCTAGCCATTGTCTAGTTTAAACATCAGTCTTACAGGAGATTAAGCAAAGGTTTAATTATAGCCTGACCCATATTGCGTTTTGTGAACCTTTTGAAAATTTGAACTGCCATAAAGAAGTATAAACTTTTTTTATTTTTAGTGAATTAAGATGAGCTAGTTAACCACTTGAAAATTTTGCTATAGTGAAAATTCTCTTTGGGTAGATTTGTCTGAGACATTCTTTGGGGAGTTGCACGATGAAAATTCTTATGTACCGACTATCAGATGTTTCTAAGCTTTTGTTGTATTTAAGACAAGAGGGACTTATGGGATGTTATGAAAATCATTCTCTTTGTAAACTTGTTTTTCATTGTTTGGCAGTTTCAAACCTTATAATGAATGTAGTTCTTTTCTGCCTTCATTTTCCTCTCTCTTCCCTCCCTCTCCCACCGGAACCTTCTCGACAAGTGCCCCCTTGTATTTTCATGTCTTCTTTTTGTGTGTGACCTGCTGGGTTTAGTTAGAGTTTCTCATCCAGTCATGGTGGGAGGTCATTTGCTGGAGCGAGGACACCCCTGAAGAAAATTACACCCCTCCCCCAGTAACCATTAATTTCCAGGGGCCTCATGGAACCAAATGTTGAATGGCCCAGTCTTGTACAGGTCTGTGCAGATCACTGCTGCAGTGAGGTCGTGAGTGCAACGGCCATGTCGTGTCCAGATGACATCTTGTGTGCGTCTCCCCGCTCTCTGGTTCTTGCATTCTTTCCTCCCCCTCTTCCGTGTTTCCCTCAGCCTTGGAGGGCGTGATGCAGATGTTCCATTTAGGGCGAAGCATTCCTCCATCACTTGTTCTCGGCATTTTGACCAGTTATGGGCTCGTGCATTCACTTGTATGTTAACTTGTGCATGCTGTAGTATGAGGCTTCTCTGATGCTGTATGCATGTATGTAAGTGCACCTCTGTTGCGCAGTGCCCATGGAGGCCAGAAGAGGGTGTTAGATCTGCTGGAACTGGAGTTACAGACAGTTGTTAGCTGCCACGTGGGTGCTGGGAACTGAACCCGGGTCCTCTGCAAGAGCAGGCAGTGCTCTTAACCACTGAGCCAGTGCTCCAGCCCCTTAATATTTATTTATTTTTATTGATATTTTGTCTGCATGAGTGTTTTGCTGCACATTTGTAAGTGCTCCAGCCCCTTAATATTGATTGATTGATTGATTGATTGATTGATATTTTGTGTGCCTGAGTGTTTTGCTGCACATTTGTAAGTGCACCTGTGTTGTGCAGATCAGAGAGGATGTCGGATCCCTTGAACTGGAGTTACAGACAGTTGTTAGCCACCATGTAGGTACTGGGATTTGAACCCAGGTTCTCTGCAAGAGCAGCCAGTGTTCTTAACCACTGAGCCAGCACTCTAGCCCTTTAAATCTTTATTTTAATCATCTGTACCAAGGCTGTGAAAATGATGAGAATGGAATTCTCTCACCCCAGGAAGGCAGATACAATTAAAAATAAGCCTTATGACCTAAGAGTTAGTTGTGATGTTTTTGCAGCCAACTTGAATAAGGAGAAATGGTGGTTTTGCCTGCCATTTAAAGATGTTGAGGTGGTTTAAAATGACAGTGAGGTTAAAAGGCGCAGAGTAACGTGGGGGATAATCCACAGTATGAAGAGGCGTTCTTTAACTCTTAGAGCCTTGTGGCTTCTTGTGTCTTCAAATTTGATTTCTAAATAGGCTGCATGGTGTATGAGAAGCTGGGGGAGCAGGTCTTTGGTACCACAGGGAAGTTTGTGATCTTCGGAGCCACGTCTCTGCAGAACACTGGAGGTAAAATCTACATGTTTCTCCTACATAACTGTATAGAGTATCATTGGCTTTTCTAATTCTGGTGGTTGAGTGTCTGCATGAAGTTTAGCATAATTCAAGCAGTCGGTGTCCTTGCTACGCAAATGGCACATGGACAGAAAAGCAGCACTGACTTCTGTAGAGACAAACACTGCAGGGGCAGCCAGGGCTACCTGTGCCTCACTGAAGGGATCCTGACAGCAGGCTGGTACCTTTCATATGCTTGCAACATGAGCCATAGTATCCTCTTTCTAAAAACGTCCTCATCTTCCCCGCAGCCATGCTGAGCTACCTCTTCATAGTAAGAAACGAGCTTCCCTCTGCCATAAAGTTCCTCATGGGAAAGGACGAAGCGTAAGTTAGAGACCTTTTGTTGTTTGTTTTGGGGTCTGCTCAAATGAAAATGATTTTAAGTGCATGCTGACCAGCTTTTTGTTTTATGAAAATTTTAGAAACAAAATTCTTCCTAGGCTGTTTTTTTTTCTTTGTTGTTTCAACATTCAGTTTCTTTGGGGTCAGCATAAAGAAATGGAAGAAACAGGGAACCATTTAATTGTGGATTCTTACAACACTGCAAACAGTAGACACCGAAATCCTACTTCCTGTGAAATACAAAACATATGGAATATTTTTAACACAGAAGTTGAACACACAAAGGATTTTTTTAAAAAGAAAAGACTTTAGCCTTTCTTAAAGGTTCATGGCATTTTGGAAACAAAATTTACATGAACCGACATCATGAAAAATATAGCTCACTATGGAAACTTCTGCCAGTGACATTTGGCACAAGAATTATGTTTTGACTTCTTGTTTAAGAGTTCTGTCAGCCTTAATTCCTCTGTTTTCCTTCAAGGGAGGATAGTAGAAGCCATGGCCCCAGTGTTTCTATCCTGAGCATTCAAGGTCGAAGGGTGAGGGAGAGAGTGATACCTACCTATGCTGACACTAGCTGGGCACACAGTGGAGCTTTCTCTTTAAATAATTGATAGGACAAGTTGTAAGCTGACAGAATGCAACGTATGCATTCAGCTGTTAAGCCACATAAATAATTCATAGGAAGGCCACCTGTAGCCAATAAATGAGGCAGTAATAAAGATGTAGTGGTGGGGGTAAAGTATTTAATGAATAATCATCAAAAAACAGATAGTACAAGATAGAATAAAAATTAACATGTATTGTGAATTGCTACATTTGAGGGAAAACGATAGCACTTTCTAAATGGAAGCTGTCAAAAACAAGTTGCTTGCATGCATTTCAGAGCCTGGTACGTGGATGGCCGTTTCCTGGTGGTGGTGGTTACCTTCAGCATAATTCTCCCTCTGTGTCTCCTGAAGAACCTAGGTGAGCAAAGGTCTGGCTTGCATCTCGGGCTCTCCAGTGCTCAGATGATCAGAAACCTCTGAAAACGAGCAGCCTTGCCCCACTTTCCTTAGAAAAATGATGAAATGAATCATGACTTGCGAGTATTACTAAGGCCTGACGTTAATGTAGGATAAAAACACTGGTTATTATGTGGCTTTCTGGCTGAGCAGTCCCTCCCTCCGCTGAGCTCCAGCAGGCAGAAGCGGGCTCTGAGACCAGGATGTACTCTGCTCTCCTGAGTGGCATAGTTTCTGGGCTGCTCTAAGAAAAATCCAGAAAATAGAATTCTCCTCCTTGTTTTGTTTTGTTTTGTTTTGTTTTGTTTTGTTTTGTTTTGTTTTGTTGTGTTGAAGATCAAACCCAGAGCCTTATGCATGCTACCCAAATGATCTACCACTGAGTTATACCCCTATTACTGCCTTTTAATTTACAAACAGGGCCTTTCTAAATTGCCCAGACTGGTCTCAAACTTGAGATCCTCCTGCCTCAGCCTCCCAGGTAGCTGGTTTGAGGGTTTCAATATCCTGATCATTTAGACCAATAGATTTCAAATCTAATACCAAAACAAAGCAGAATTGTGAATTACTCTGGCTGGTAATTAGTCTATCCAGTCTCAGTGACTTTCCTCACAAAAGGGAGAGAGAAATTTCAAGTAAAAAATGACAGATGATCTCTGTCATCCATTTGTTTTTGACATCTGTTTTTATGCTTATATTTGGAGACAAGGATGCCTGGAGTTGTGGGAATTTCATAGAGTGAATTAATGAGGCCAGGTTTCCATCTGCCCAGAACGCCAAGGTGCATTTCTTTAAATCTGGGCTAATTTAAGGAACAGTGAAAAGTTCTTCCAAAAATAATTATGAATTACAGTTTTTTGTTTTGATTTAGTTAAGAGATGGCAGAACGTCTATGGAGTTTATAAGTAGATTTTCACTACTTGTTTCTCAGCTTTCTGGGTTTCTGTAGGTTTTTCTGTCTACAGAGGTAGCTCTCTCCAGTCAGTGCAGAGAAAGGTCCTTCCCCAAGAATGAGAATAATGCATTTCCCAAGAGGCCACTGTGCTGTTCTGGTGGTTGTGGTGACTGTCGGAGCTCTCCCAGCATTCCAAGTGGGAGTGAGTAAGGTCCTCAGATACTCCATTTGTCCCCAGAAATTCACAGCATCTACTTGTATGTGCCTGTCATTGGGAGAGGAATGTTTTAACTAACATTCAGGGAGCCACAGTAAGTCACAAGACAGAAGAACTGTGGCGTGGGTCCAGGAGTAAACGGGCTTGGCAGAAGAGTACGCCAGCACAGAGACAGGCTGAACCACCTGTGTTCTCAAGTGTCCCAGGGAGCACTGGGCTCAAAACACCTAATACAATGCTTTCATTCGAAGCCCTATCATTATTATTGCCAAATAAAGTAGCACTATCAAGTAATGTGTCTTGTTTTCACATAGGCATATGTGTACGTTATTGGAGTCTTAGATTGTGCTTGAAATAATATATTCAAAGAAATGAAGCCATAAACAAACTAATACTAATGATACTGCACTGTTTTAAAGGGTATCTCGGCTACACTAGTGGATTTTCCTTGAGCTGTATGGTTTTTTTCCTAATAGTGGTAAGTATTGATTGAAATGGTTGGTGTGCTTTTAACATTGTACAAGATCCTTACTAGTTATGCATGATTTGGCCTTAATACGAGGTGTTGTTTCTCCTGTATATTTTTACTATCAGGTTATCTACAAGAAATTTCAAATTTCTTGTCCAGATCTAAATTCAACAATAAGCGCTAACACAACTGACAGTTGTACGCCAAAATACATTACCTTCAATTCAAAGGTAAGTTTCCTTATTATTAAATAAATATGGGCAGGGGACTAGAGAGATGACTCAGTCATTAAGTACAAAATTGCTGCTCCAAAGGACCTGAGTTCAGTTCTCAGCACCTACACCAGCCAACACAGAACCACCTGTAACTCTAGCTTCAGGAGATCCAACACCCTGGACTCCTAGAGCACCCCCAACTCACATGCACAACCCCCATGCAAACACATCCACACATAATTAAAAATAAATCTTAAAGGCCAGCCTTGGAGTTCTGGGCAGTGAGTTCAGGACAGCTGGGGCTACAGGGAGACCCTGTCTCAAAAAGACCAAAAAAAAAAAAAATCTTAAAATATAAATATGAGGGGCTGGAGAGATGGCTCAGCAGTTAAGAGCACTGACTGCTCTTGCAGAGGACCTGGGTGT